ATTTGTACTAACTGTAAACTCAGTCAAACTTACAATTAACTGAGTTTATCATTTTAACATTTTTAGTTTACAAAATCATGTCAACTTAATTTTAAACTTGTGCTAAATTTTTGGACTAAAAAAACCATGCTAAATTTTTTAATTTATTTATATTTAGTGACTTTATATATAAATTTCATAGAAATTTCTTTGTTGAAGATGATAAATTATGAATGTTAAATTTGATTTTTAATTATTTGAATTTAAAATATAAGTAAATAAAATTGTTGTCATTATTTATATTTTAATTATTTCATTATATACTTTTAATACTGATTTATTAATAAAGGTAAACTCACACGAGTTTAAAATCCTAATTTATATTCCTATCACAAGTTTAATTATTAATGATTTTTTTTACCAAACATGTTAAAATTCACAACGCCAATGTCAATTTTAATCCCCTCAATACATGGTACCAAACGAGGCCTAGGATAACTTCTTAGTCCATAATATAAAATTCTATGCAATACTATCTTTTACAGTTTGCGAGCCTTTACGCCGAGTCTTCTAACAGTGCTTACATAAATTGATACAATAATAATGATGTTTGAATTCCTCTCATTAAGAAAACTAAAATTGGAACCTTGGGCAATTTTTTTCACAAATTTAATAATGTAATAAACTTTCTTTAGGATGTGTTTGGTATGAGGGATTTGGATGGGAGGAAAGGGAGAGGAAAGGATTTTAATCATTTCTCCTTGTTTGGCAATACACAAATTTTAAGAGGGGAGGGAAAATTTTTATAAAATTTTTTGAAATTTTCTCTCCCCTTCCCTTCAAAATTAGGAAGATTTGGAGAAAAAGGGTAATACTTTTCCATGTTGTGACCATTATACTTATATTTTATCATGTGATGACTATTATATCTATATCTTAAATAAAGTAAGGACAAAATTGTCTATGTTAAATATTTTTCCCTTCCCTCCCTTCTTTTTTATAAATCCAAATAAAATAATATTAAAATTCTTCCACTCCCCTCCCTTTCTTCTTATTGAGCCAAACAGACTCTCATCTTAACATATATGATGCAATGGAAATACCTAAGGACTAATATTGCTATCATCACACTTTTATTAATTTCAGCACTTTTCACTTTAGGATAGGCAGCCAAAATTTTAAGGGAAAATGACAAAAAAATGACTGTTGAAATTGGAAATGACAAAATGGGCATGCAAATAAGTGAAATGACCAAATAGGCATGGGGTATCAATCTGGAATTTTGTCAATTCGGTAGAAAGACTAAAATGCCCTGAACCTCTCTGAAGTATATGAACCGGAAGAAAACAATACTATACCAGAAGAGAGAGAGAGCTGCGAAAATGAAGCTAGAGCAAGGGTCGAAATCTGGAAAGAGGGAAAAGGTAAGCAATTTTTCCGTTAAAACGCTAGTATCACCCGATTTCTTGACTCGTTTTTTGCTGCAATCTCGAATGGGGATGGGTCTGTGAGTGTAGAGGGTTTGGATGAAGAATTTGACCAGGATGAGAGAGTGACGCGTCGGAAATGGAAAAATGATGACAAACAGTAAGCATGAGGTGGTCAGTGTTGTTAAACTCATTAGTGAAGTTGTAAAATCCTATATTTAAGTTGTTAATGGAGTAAGTGGGTGTGTGTGTGTTTTTTGGGTGTTTCGAAAGATAAATGAAATTGATTATTGGGGAACTAAAATATTGATTTATGCTTCTTTGTTGCAGGTTAGCAGGCTTTGATGACATCTAACATTGGGTTTAACATTGAGGAGTAATTTTTTTAGTGTAAATAGAATAACTTTTGAACCCTTAATTTTTTGGGAGAATAGCTGATAGAGAGGTTATCCTTTTTGTAAATGATGTTAACTGGGTAGGATATGTTTGTAATCTGAATGACAAGGAAACATTAGGTGGTGGTTTAATCTTAATGTTAACTTGTCATTTGAATACAAGTTATGTAACTTCTGTCATAGGCGTACTGGTTTTGGTAAATATCATCACTTCAGTAGTCAATTCCATTATACATGTAGTAAAGTCTGAATGTTAATACAAACATATTATGATGTTCTTCAGGTGTACTTGTATGCTATTTTGTCAACACATTTTACCATTTACTTAATTCCTCCAAGGGAGATGGTGCAAGTTGCCAATGGACATGACCGGAGTGATTAATTTGATTACAAATGCTGTAATTCACATTACAAATGTTGTTATTATCATTATCGGGGTAGTAAAATTGGCTGAAAATAGATGTTATTTGGATTTGAAAGAAATGAGTTAACAAATGGCAATAGTGAAATAGTAACTCTTATTACAAAAGTTGTAATTCACGTTACAAATATTATCATTATCAGGGTAGTAAAATTGGCTCCAAATACATGTTAAATTCATTTTCACATTAACCAGTTGCAAATGGCAATAGCAAAATTGTAACTCTCATTACGAAAGTTGTAATTCACATTACAAATGTTGTTATTATCATTATCAAGAGTATGAAATTAGCTCCAAATATATATTACTTGGGTTTGAAATAAACGAGTTGCAAATGGCAATAGCGAGATGATAACTCTTATTACAAAAATTGTAATTCATATTACAAATGTTGTTATTATCATTATCGGAGTAGTGAAATTGGCTCCAAATGCATGTTACTTTGGTTTAAAATAAACGAGTTGTAAATGACAATACGGAAGTGGTCACTTTCATTACGAATGTTGTTAATCCCATTACGTGTGTAGTGAAATTTGGGTTCAAATAGATGTAATTTAGGGTACAAATAATTGAGTTGCAAATACCATGACAGAAGTTACAACTTTCATTATGCATGCTGTAATTATCATTACTTGTTTAGTGAAATTATTCCAAAAAAGATTTAAATTAAGCCAACAAATATCATAACTTACAACCTACAACCATAAGTCAAGTATTTTGATAATATCTGGACACTACTTTCACAAATACTATATGTTTAATTTATGTAATCTTTACTACTATCACAGATGCTGTCTTTTGGTCAGTGTGGTGGCTTCATTTGATGAAAACAAACTCAATGCTTTGTCATGTCTTGAATTAAGGTCATGATTCACTAGCCACCACACCAATGCATAATTCAGTAACTTGAAACTGATTTTTCAGCTCCTACTTTGAGCTCACAGGCTGTAAAACAATCTGATTCAAACAGCACAATCATAATTCAGCACTTAGAGACATAAATCATTATGTTCAAATCAGTTTTTAATCTCTAGCTCTTCAATCCTCAAACCAACAGTTTTTTTAAAAAAAGAAAAGAAAGGAAAATCAGTTTTATGCCTCGATACTTTAATTCACAAGCATCAATTCACAAGCAATAACCCACATACTCATATATATACAAACATTTTACAAGTATTGAATCAGCTTTTAACCTTCAAAATATTTCAACTAGTAGTAATATATAATCTGTAAATTATTATCACTTTCAGAACATGCTAATATATAATTCAGATTCATTAAACAGTCTTTGAACACCATTATATCAGCTTCTAAATTTCCAAAACTTGAATCCCGCAACCTCAAGCATTAATAGCCCCAGCAGTAATGAACACACGCACATGCTTGTAAGATGACATGCCATAGCCACTCACTACCCTGATAATGATGATAACAACATTTGTAATGTGCATAACAACATTTGTAATCAAATTAACCACTCCAGTCATGCCCATTGGCAACTTCCACCATCTCCCTTGGAGGAATTAAGTAAATGGTAAAATGTGTTGACAAAATAGCATACAAGTACACCTGAAGAACATCATAATATGTTTGTATTAACATTCAGACTTTACTACATGTATAATGGAATTGACTACTGAAGTGATGATATTTACCAAAAACCAGTACGCCTATGACAGAAGTTACATAACTTGTATTCAAATGATAAGTTAACATTAAGATTAAACCACCACCTAATGTTTCCTTGTCATTCAGATTACAAACATATCCTACCCAGTTAACATCATTTACAAAAAGGATAACCTCTCTATCAGCTATTCTCCCAAAAAAATTAAGGGTTCAAAAGTTATTCTATTTACACTAAAAAAATTACTCCTCAATGTTAAACCCAATGTTAGATGTCATCAAAGCCTGCTAACCTGCAACAAAGAAGCATAAATCAATATTTTAGTTCCCCAATAATCAATTTCATTTATCTTTCGAAACACCCAAAAAACACACACACACCCACTTACTCTATTAACAACTTAAATATAGGATTTTACAACTTCACTAATGAGTTTAACAACACTGACCACCTCATGCTTACTGTTTGTCATCATTTTTCCATTTCCGACGCGTCACTCTCTCATCCTGGTCAAATTCTTCATCCAAACCCTCTACACTCACAGACCCATCCCCATTCGAGATTGCAGCAAAAAACGAGTCAAGAAATCGGGTGATACTAGAGTTTTAACGGAAAAATTGCTTACCTTTTCCCTCTTTCCAGATTTTGACCCTTGCTTTAGCTTCATTTTTCGCAGCTCTCTCTCTCTTCTGGTATAGTATTGTTTTCTTCCGGTTCATATACTTCAGAGAGGTTCAGGGCATTTTAGTCTTTCTACCGAATTGACAAAATTCCAGATTGATACCCCATACCCATTTGGTCATTTCAGTTATTTGCATGCCTATTTTGTCATTTCCAATTTCAACAGTCCTTTTTTTGTCATTTTCCCAAATTTTAATTGATGTCCTAAATATAAAATGTAGTATAATTTACGTTATAAAACTAGATGTTATGCTATCTAGGACTAGAGTTAGTAGCTATTAATCTAAATATCAATATTAACATAATTCATGTAAATCAAAATTGTTTCTCAGTTAATCGTTGAATGCCGAAAATGTGTAATTACTCGTATTATATTTGTCGCAAGTAGGGTGGATCGATAATTTAAATTAAAATTTAATGAGAAGGAAAAAGGGTTGCCCATTGCAGAAGTTGACGATCCGTGCCGGGAAGGCCTCATCATCTGGCTCCGTTTTGTTTTAAAGGGCACAAACGACCCCGGGGCATTCAATTGGCGAAAGTAACAGGCGGAGATTTTCATTCCCGAGAAATATACCCAAGCAATCCCTTCAGCGATTATGTTGCAGAGAGCCAGACGACGTTGCGAGGGCACTGCCATGGGCGCTATCGTCCTTGATCTTAGACCTGGCCTTGGAATCGGTCCCTTCTCACTCGGTAATTCGCCGCCATTTTCATTGACCGATTACCACCTATTCTGGAATCATTCGTATATCCGATTAAATTGGCTTCAAATTTTTGTCGTTCTTTGTTTGTTGTCTGAGAATCTCTATGTGGAAAGTGAAGGAATCGATTTTAAAATTTTCTAATCATTTGATCCGTTCGATTGAAGCGGACTCAGGAACATGACAATCTAGTAGTCATTCGATATTTTCCCTTTATGGCTTGCCGAAGATGGGTAAAATCTGAAGTATTTTCTGGGTTTTGGTTTTTGCTAATCGCGTATGCCCCTGTAGATATAGGTCGACTATTTGAAATTCTCTCAATCGATGGGACTGGAAGTCATGTCGTTCACTCTCGTGGGTTCTTTCTTGTTGTTGCATCTTATCCATGGCTCAGCTAACATGAACATTCATGCATTTGAGATGTCAATCCTAATAGCACCCATAGATTGCCTGTGCGTTGATTATTAATTATGCTTAGCTTTTCAAATGCTGTTCAGGGATGCCCATATGTGAAGCATTTGCTCAGATAGAGCAGCAGCCTAACATATATGATGTTGTCCATGTGAAGTATTTTGATGAGGTTTGTGACAAACGATTTGACTTGTGATTTTCGTCGTCAATGTTACTGTATACTCAGACAACAATTTTCCTTAGTTTCTTTGAAATTTCCTGGATTCTATATTGGACTATCTGCGTAGGCAGATTTCAATTCAATCATGTGTCTCTGTGAGACATTTGCCAGACTTAATTGTTGGTTCAATCTCATGTATATGCAGGAACCCTTAAAGTTGGATATTGTTATAAGCTTTCCAGATCATGGTTTTCATCTTCGGTTTGATCCATGGTCCCAGGTACTTGTTCATATTTTCTGTTGGAAGCAACTAAGCCCACTTAGAAATGTAAGAAAGAGGTTGTGTTTGGCAAGCTGAAATTTTTTATCTTGTCATTTATAGGAACGATAACTAGCTTACTGTGGGGGGTGAAACGTAATCGTCTTTGCCTTTTTGATGTTGCACCTGATTTGATGGGAATAGTAACCATAGCTAATATCTTGGTTTTTAACGTTGGGATATCATGACCAAAGCACTGAAGCACAGCCAAATCAGTTGTATGTGTATTGAGTAATGCAAGTTTGGAAATACGTACTTTGGGTTCTGAGTTCTTAAAGATTCTCTTAAATAATAACTCCTTGCTTATTTAGCTTTCGGTGTTTGTCTAGAACAGGTTACATTACCATTGAGTGAATCCTATATGTATGTTTGAATTGGATAGGAGATAATGAAGAAAATCATTTAGGGATCCTATATATGAAGATAATCATATATTTTGTCTCATCGACTTTTCTCTTTCTGTCAATAAGATATTTTGATTGCCAAAGACCGTTGAGTCTAGTGGCACCAACCCCCCCGCCCCCAAGCGGGGATGGAGGTCACTGGATCAAACATGTGCTGTGTGTATGAGTGTGTTTGTGTGCATTATATGTTGTGTGCTCTTCATTTGACCCTTAACAAAAAAAAAAACAAGAAGAAGAAGAAGATATTTTGACTGGATACTTGTAGCATCATTTTACGAATGTTGTTAGGAAGGATTTTTAACTATTTCTTTATCTTCATATAGAGTTGATTGTTCAGTTTCTGTATCTTGTGGTTCTTATCTGTTCTTATCGTACCAATGAATTCAAGTTCTTGCGGATTGCTTCTGTCTGTTATTGCTAGTACTGTAGTACATGATAAGAAGATTTTGTCATGTTCATTGACTTACTATATGATTAATATCTTAGAGACTGCGCCTAATTGAGATATACGATGTGAAGAGGCTTCAAATGCGCTATTCCACTTCTCTCATTGGGTGAGTGAGTGTATGGATTAGGGACTTAAAGTTTTACTCTTTTTTACTTATAGGTATATTGTTGACCATTATGTTTATTTTGTAGAGGACCATCAACTTTAGCTACTTTTGTTGCTGTCTATGCACTCTTTGGGCCAACTTATCCTGGAATTTTCGACAAGGATCGAGGCATTTACACTCTGTTTTACCCGGTACATATTTGGGATTTATAGTTCATATTCATAAATATTTTATACTAATTTTGTCTTATTCTGGTTTTTAGGGTCTTTCCTTTGCATTTCCTATTCCAAGTCAGTATACGGACTGCTGCCATGATGAAGGAGGTATTTATTTTATTTTCATGAGATTGAAATGTCCCACTGAGTTTTCATGTTCTAATTTGTTGACCTTTTGTTTTCATTTTATTTTGAAAGTGGAACTGCCATTGGAGTTTCCGGATGGCACTACACCAGTTACATGTCGTGTTTCTATATATGATAGTTCCTCTGGCAAAAAGGTTGGTGTAGGATCCTTAATGGATAAGGCTTCTGCTCCACCATTACCTGCTGGCAGCATTTACATGGAAGAGGTTCATGTTAAGGTTTGGCTTCTTTTAGCCCTTTGTCTGTCTACACTTCAAATACTGAGAATCTTGGGGATGATGTTATGTTAAGTTTCCCCTAATTCTGGGGTTTAATTGGTTCTCTCTCTCTGTAATATAGCTAGGGGAAGAATTGCACTTTACAGTTGGTGGTCAGCGAATTCCTTTTGGTGCATCTCCGCAGGCAAGTCTCATGTTGCTATAATTAAGTCTGTTTTTGTTTTCTCATTATCAAACTATATTGTTGTCCTATCGGTTTTTTTTCCCCCCTTGTCTGTCAATCTTCCAGTCGATCCTGTATTCTTTTGTGTGATGTGAGGTTAATGCTATGCTTTAGTCCCTTAGTTATTCTCTCCATCTAATTACAGCTTTCTGCAATATTCAGGATGTTTGGACTGAACTAGGTCGCCCCTGTGGAATTCATCAAAAGCAGGTACCACTATCAAGTACTAATCTTTTAAATGGAGCTTAATGCTTTGCAGACTTTATACAGAAATCAACAGATCTGATTTGCAGTAATATCTGAAATTTTAAAGGTCATTATTTGACCTTTTTTCTTTGTTAGAACCCTCAAACTTAGTGTCAGAACACCTATTCTGCTATATATTTGGTGAAATAACACAGAGAGCACTGCAACATTGATATAAAGACAGTAAATTCTCCTTGGACTGTTGCTTACAGTACAGTCGCTCAATATAACCACCAATTTTCACTTAGATCCAGTCAAACCAAGACACCCTTATTACTCAAACAGATGCACCTTTGATATAAGGTAATGACCTCAGCCCTCATACCAAGGCGTTACTATTGATTACAACCAGCTTCATGCACATCACAGCAATACAAAACGCAAGTCACCAATACTCAGCAACTACCAGAAGAAAACAAATTGTAAACGAAGAATGACAAATGCCAACTATGCTAATCCAACTGAAAAAGAGAAAGAGACACCAACTTTCAATAGTATGGCTTTCTCCCACCAAAACCAGATCCAGGGTTCTTCTAGGCCGCTCCTTTCTCAGCTTGTCCTTTCAACTGCTTTTTAACCACTCTCCCTCCCTCTTAATCATTATTCCCTTCTTTTGCTCCTTCATTTTTCCATTTATTTGCATCCACTTGCAGGTCCTTTATTCCACCATCAATTCTGCCTTCCTTTGCTCTTCCCGTCCTTCTGACCTCTGCTGTGTTATGGTTGCATGCATTGACAGAGTCCCATCTTTACTCTCCCAAATAAGATTCACATTGTCCTCAAGGAGAGAATTAGACATTGGGCATGGATTGAACCTCACACTTTGATTAGCCTCTTTCCTCTTAACCTGTTCTGCGAAGCATCCTTATTTAACTATTCTAGGCACTCCAAGTAGCTGGCAAAGTTGGTGTCCAGAAGAAATAATTCCCTTGGTCATAATTATGTTTGCATCAGTTCATTTTTACTGTAAGGTGTGAACATGGCACTCACGAGACTCTTCAAAAATTGGATTAGGGACTAACTCTCTGCGCTCTCTCTTTCGTAAGACCCAATTTCCTGAGCCTTGGCTCCAAAGGGGAAGGAATTGTTTACTCCATCTTGGTGTATTTCAGCATTAGTCCGTTAAAAGGTTGTGATCTGTGAGCCGCTATTAATATCAAAGTTCATGTTGCTAGTTTCACTGGTCTCCATTCCAGCTGTAGTTGTATCGTTGTGACAAGTTCCTGCTAGTATTTAATGGACTGTCTCATCTGATCTTCTTATGATACATGTAACATGGACAACTTTAACACTCTTTGAATGAAGAGGAAACTAAGGGGAGGGGAGGATAAGGGGAGGAAGGGGAGGGGGGGTAGAGGGAGGAGAAGTGGACTAATAATATTATCTCTCCTTGTGTTTGGATTGGAGGGGAGAAAAAATGGAGGAGAGAAAATGCATCACATTTACAATGACAATAATACCCTTGTTTAATTTTTAACCCATTTTTAAGTAACATATGGAGTCCTCTAAAAAGGAGTAGAGGAAGGCCGATGACAACGCTTAATGAAGTCATTGAAAGAGATATTTCAATTAACAATAGCGGGCCCCCAGCGGGAGGCCCGCATGACGGGCTATTAGCTCAGTGATAGAGTGCGCCCCTGATAATTGCGTCGTTGTGCCTGGACTGTGAGGGCTCTCAGCCACATGGATAGTTCTGGTTGCTGGTTGGGCCGGTTCGATGGCTCTATATGAATTAGCCGTTTTTGATCCCTCTGACCCTGTTCTTGACCCAATGTGGAGACAAGGTATGTTTGTTATACGTGCAATCCGTGTAGCTAATTCCACCTAGTGGGATAAGGCTTTATTGTTATTGTTGTTTTAAGTAACGTCATGAAAAAAAAATTCAGATAAAAAATTAATTACCACCAAAATAAAGACTACAAGTCAAAACTAAAATGAAATTATTATTTACATTTTATTTTAAAATTAAGATATTGAGCAAAATATATTTTCTCGCAAACTTAGATAATAGAAGAAATTTAAAATAAAAATAAACATATCATACTTTATTTATTATTATTATTTATATGAAAATTTTATTAATAAACGAAAAAATATATATGTTATTACTTTATGTTTATAATAGAGTTACGCTAAGGAAGCCTTGTAAATGTTTTTAAAGAATGAAATTACAGAAGACAATGCAGGCAATATTCTGACCAGCGATGAGTTTTAGCAACATTGCAACAATTTTTGGGTCTCAGTTTCAACAACAAAAAGGATCAGGTGGAGTGATCATCGTGCTTGTGAGGGTAGGAAAAGGGATAAGTATGGAAAATTAGTTTTCTGTCCAAAATCTCCAATATTGGGCAGAAATTTTGGGGGTAAAATTATATTGGCCCTGCACCATTTTCCTCTCTCTACTTTATCCTTCCCTTATTTTCTTCTCTAATCCCAAACAAGAGAAAATCCATTTTCCCCCTCCATTTTCTCCTCTACTTTTCCCTTCCCCCTAATTTTCTCTCCATCCAAACACTCTGGAAAGACCGTAGGTATGAGAATGGGTCTAAAGCCAAAACAGTAATTTTAGACAGTGATAATAATCTAAAGAAAAACTGAATCTAATTGTTTCTTCTTGTTATCTTGATATTAAATACCTGAAAGATTAATCTTGCAGGTGGATCAAATGGTTATTCATTCTGCTTCTGATCTTCGGCCTCGAACAACTCTCTGTGGGGATTACTTCTATAATTATTTTAGTCGTGGGCTTGACATTTTATTTGATGGACAGGTTTCACCTCATCCCATTCTCACTTATGTACAGTGATGATAATTTACCATGTTGTGATGGCTTTTCTTGTTTCTGTTGTTACAGAGTCACAAAATAAAAAAGTTTGTGTTGCATACCAACTACCCTGGTCACGCTGATTTTAATTCATACATGAAGTGCAATTTTGTTATCTATGCCTCATCAGATTGTAAGCTATCTTCTATTTGCAGTATTTAACATTGATTTTTTATACTGCTAAAACGAGCCATGACTTGTTGCAATGGAAGGCATGAGATCATTTTAATTTTCTTTCCAGCAGTTGGGGGATCTTTTCATGATGCCAATGGCAGCAAACAAAAAGTCATTACACATTCGACAAAGTGGGAACAAGTTAAGGTGGTTTTCTTATGGCTTTCAGCTGTTGTATAATTTGATGAAGACAATGTGGCATGCTTTGATACCAGTTTTTCTTTCGTAATCAATCGAATTCATCTATGATAGCATATGTTTTAATCTTTTAGGAAATTCTTGGTGATTGCGGTCGAGCTGCTATTCAAACACAAGGTTCTACAAGCAACCCGTTTGGGTCTACCCTTGTGTATGGTTATCAAAATATTGCATTGGAGGTGAGTCATTCTATATTCTTGAAGTTTTTACATTTGTAATTTGTAGTTTAATTTAGTGCTTGGCTTTGAAGAGATCCCTAATCTATATTCTGGTGGTGGTAGCAGGTGATGAAAAACGGTTATATTGCGACTATTACTCTCTTCCAGTCATAATAAATGTGGTACATCCTTTTAATCATGTATCTCTTAATTGTCTGAGTGTTCTCCTTTCTTTTTGAGCCAACATATAGGACGAGTTGTTTTCTCTTGCAGATTGCTGTCATATAATAGATCAAGGTAGTTTGCTATGAGCTAGTACAAGACCCATGTCTGCATTTCTCCCGGGCTTCAGTCTAATTATTGCTCTGCTGCATTTATTGACTTATAGGGGTATCACTAGTAGGAATCAGTCCGTGGCCATCCTCAAGAGTTGCTAATTATTCTTTGTTCCTTGGCTTGTTTAAGCAGTTGTCTCGTCGGGTTGTGATTTAACAAGGAGCAGCCAACGTTATTTGTACAGTCCATGTGTAAAATTTTTTTTTTTTGTTTAAAAAACAAGGTTTATTCATGTACATCATGGCAAGGACCAATAATTGTACAGTTAAGTTACAAATTGTACGTCTTCTGTAAACTGTCTATATAGGTATAATTTTCTTAACATGCCAAGTTTTTTTTTTCCCCCTTTTCTTTTCCAAAAGAAACTTGCTATTACCTTGCCTCCGAAGGACTTGCCCTGGTAACTTGAATAAAATTGAAACGTTCCAGAGTTTCATAACCATGAATGAGATTGTGCTTTTGTGCCTTTGTCTTGCTGCGATCATGTGGACGTTATCTGTGATTTAAGGGATCCAAAGTGCAGCCTGTGACAGATGATATACTGGAGAATGAATAACTATATCCTGGCTATTCAGGCAAACATATATCGGTTAAAATTTATCTGTGAACGAAGTGTAAAATTGGAATTTCAAATATGTGTGTTCTGCGTAGGTTAGCGTTGCTACTTTTTGTTTCTTGGGCAAAGCAGCGTGGTGGCTGGTGCTTTTATCCGTACAAACATTTGTAAGTTCCAATGCACCATGCATGTGCCATGTAATTTTTTCGTGAGCGACTCTATGGAGTTTAATATACAACACGGGCATAGTTGAGGGATATATAAAAGGTTGGTTAGGCATAAAACGCAGGACTTCGGGGAGGGCCTCTGAGCTTGCAACATTCCAACGTTGAAGGGAACGCACGCACGCATGCACGCACACACTCCCTCCCTCCAATGGTCACAGCTGATGTGACATCCCTGTTCGCTTGGCACACGAAATCCATGCTCGAACATGGCATCGGGTACGTTTAATTGCAAAGTTCACCCTCCAATGATTACAGCTGATGTGAGATCCCTGTTCGCTTGGCAGTTACTCCCGCTGGTATCGTCGTCTTCGTCAAAAGTAAAATGAACTTTGCGCAGCAGATATCATAGATGTGTCATTTGAAACCTCTTTCCTGCAAAACAAGTTTGGTTTCGTGCAGACCACAAACCATCGGCAAGGTGGAAAGGAAGCACAAAGAGATGCAAAGGCAAAGAACTTTGATAAGGTATCCAAATATGAAACCAACTTGGCAAACAACGGCTTGAAAAACAACAATCTGCAAAATATAAAGTTGTATTTAGTCGGATGATATGATTTAAAGAAGATCAGCTTAAATGAATATAATGCCACTACGTGCCATGAGAAAAGAAAATATAATGAAGTAGTTAGTTTTGATTGTTAATAAATATTTTGCCCCTAAAACAATTGGACAATTATTTTTTACCATCATTATGAACAGTTATAAAATGATAAAATATGTAACGGTTATAAAAATTAAGAAAATATAAGAAATAATTGGGAATAAGAGGAATGGTAAAGAGTTGAGGGAGAAAATACTTTCTCTTCAAGACTATAACTACTTAGTACATATCCTCCGTTCATAGGTATCAAATTACCAAGAGTTACAATGACATAAGTCTACAAAATTGGAACATTTCAAGGTTACATTTACTAGATATCACAAAGCCATCCATTTCAAATTTCAAAATAATATATCATGCTATTTGAAACATCTTCAGCTTGATTGTGAGATTTAGTAATGTTCTTCTAGGCTGCCAATTGCATATTGTAGTTATTTTGCAATACTTTATATTTATCAAGTGTTGGTTCACATTGGTGATTTGACACTATTAGATATGATATTCAAGCAAGATTGAGCTGATGCATTTCGTATATTTTCCATTCCATCTATAATTATATGGTATAATAAGTAAATCAATGTATTTCTTTTAAAATCGTCTTTTTGTTACATTTAAAGGCAAAAGAGAAATATAAGAATTCTATGCAATATTTATCTTCAAATTTCTTTCAATATTAATTTATGTGCATTGTGGGAGAACAATATGAATAGACATTGACATGCGTTGCTCGTTTTCAGTTTGAGACTGTCTAAATGCCAAAAACGACTTTGACAAGGCTATTTTTAATTGAGCATGACAATACTCAAATTTAGATGACACATACGTAAAGAATGGATATCCAAAATTCTAAAATGAATTACATCCCGTATCTGATAGCATCATATCCACCATTATATTACTTTGATCGAAATGGATGGTTTTCTGTCATGTACTCTCTCTATTCAAAATATAAGTACTCTTCCAGTCTTTAATATAAGACCTATTTAACTAATTTGATTAGATTAAGGAAGTTAGGTAAGTTAGTTAATTATAAGAAAAGTGACACATTTTTCCTAAAACACCATAATCATCTTTCTTAATACCTCATCTCCCTCTTTTACTTGATTATGATTGACGGAATATCTGTAGGGGTAATTTAGAGAAAACTGATAAATATGATAAATAATTCTTATATTTAGGATCAAAACCAACTTAATAATTGGGTTCTAGATTAAGGATCGGAGGAGTATTAAAAAACAATATTACTCAATTTAAAAGGTTGATTAAAATTAGTTAAAAATAATAAATATATAAAAACTGTAATTTCTTTTTCTAAAACACCCTCATTTATGGAGAGGCTAAGTGAGAAAGAGAATGAGTAGAAAAAAAGATATGAGATAGATATAATTAATTAGGAGTAAAAATAAAAAAATGCATTAAATGAGCAGACAAATTCAAATTCATGCTTATAAAAAAATCAAGTCCTGCTTATATTTTGAATAAAAGAAAGTAACTTTTAAATGTCTCACTATGGAGATTTACGCTAGACATGAGAATATGATTAGATTGTGGGTTGCGAGCCAACCACCATGACCTGCGAGTTACAAAGTGCAGACTAAAATAGCCTACACCGTGCTGGCAAAATGCCAATCCTAACCTATTATGAGCTGACTTGCCAATTTTTTTTTAAATCAGATTTATTGTTTATATTTATCCCAAAATTCCAAAATGCAATCACAAGCTCAAGCTTATACCACACTCAAAAGGATTAATACATATACAAGACAAACCACTGCAAAGATGACTAACATTCAACATTAATGGATAAAAATCATCAATTTTTTCGAAGTTTAATCTTGTGACCGAATTTGAGTTGATAATAAAAGCCGACATTTAGGTCACCGAATTTAATCTTGTTACTTAGAAAATTTCATCTTAATTCTATATTGATAGAAACAGTAAATTAATCGAAATAATAGTCCCAATAAAGTGAGATTATTGAACATGTCTAGAACATGATAAAGATTATACAGATTGGAATGAAAGAAGAAAAACAAAAGCAGTAAATGACGATGTTATGGAAGGGAAGAAAGAAAACGCAGATACTAGTGAGAGAAGCATAGGAGAAATCAAAGGCGAAGACGGAAGAAGAAGATGCTGTAGTGGGTGAGGAAGATGAGAAGGTGCCAATCGATCAAGAAATAGTGAGAGAACAAAAATTCCAGAAAATTTCAATCAATTTCTTAATGCTATATTGATAGAAACGGTAAAGTAGTAGTAATAACATTCCCAATAAGGCACAGAAATTGGACGTGCATGGTCATCAGATACATACATGGGTGGATGAAATTAAGTAATTAGGAGTTCAGTGCAAGCGAAGTATTAAAAGGACAGAATGTGAATAGGCTCCTCGCTGCGTCCTATTATAAATGTAAATTGCTCTATGGAGACACAAGCAGTAGTCGTAATATGTTAAGAAAACTGAAAGGTAAGAGCAAGGTGTGAGAAAATTTGAAGCTTGAGAAAAGTGGAGAGGAATGGTTAGAATTTGATATTTTAAAGGGTTAAGGTGTGCCCAACATCTCAAAGTATTTTTCTAATTGCACTTGGTGTCTTAAAATTATTTGTGGTGCAATTTTACTTCTAAAGTATTTAAAATGGTACGTCTATATTTATTTCTGACAGAACCATTTTATTTGACTATCAAGTGCTGAGTCAGCTCCATTTTGACCAAAACAATTATGGCATATGAGATCAGATCCTGGCATTAAAGCTGGGAATATGGCTTGGGACTCACGGGCCAACCCACCAACCCACCATAAAAGAGTGGGTTAGGGTTGGCATTTTGCCAACCCGTCAAGGTGCACGTTGTTCTAGCCCTCATCGTATAACCCGCGAGCTATGGCGGGCTAGTCCGCGGGTTGGCCCTCCTAACCCCCCACCTATTTTTTTTTTAAAATTTTTTTTTACATAAATAATATGTTATTATATTTAAAAATTTTCTTCTCTTATTTATATTTCAATTTTCATGTTACATAATACATATCTAAACAAAAAATATTTTTTAAAATAAGCATACTATATTTATAGCAAAAACTTGATAACTAAAATCAAATATAAGACAATATTCATTACGGAAAAAAAGTGTTTTAGAAAAACATGGTGAATGAACTTAAAAAAAAAAAAGATAAATGCACTTCTAATTTATTAAGAGATAGTGTTTTGTATCAAACATGGCATTTGTATGAAAAAAAAATTATAAAATTTATCATTTGATGAGTTGATGTTAAATTTTAATCATATAAAATATTTGTAATGTATTGTTTTATATTGTATTGACTATTTTAAATGTGGTTAAACATAATTTATACTTATAATTACTTTTGAAATTTTAGATCACCATTTATTAATTTAAAAAATTAAATAAAAATAAGATTTGAAAATTGAGAATTTAAAAGAAGAAGAAAAAAAAAGATGGCGGGCTGGCCCACCAACCCACTATGACGGGTTAGGGTTGGGATTTTTTAAGCTCCCCAAAATACGGACTACTCCAGCCCACACTGCATAACCCACGGGTTGTGACGGGCTGGCCCGTATTCCCAGCTATACCCGACGTGTCAAGTTGTTTCTCTTTATTATTACTATTTTTTTCCCTTCAACTCTCTTTCTCTCTCATTAGATTAGGGGTGTATAAGGAGCCTATTTGCTCTTTGCGCCTGTTCGAGCTTACCAAAAAAAAATCAGCCCGGCCCAAAAAAATTTTACCCAAAAAATATAATATATATTAGTTTTTTTCAACAAATATATATTATAATAATTATTATACATATAATAATATGTAGTATAATATTGTTTTTAGCCACTATTCCCTTCTATTTTGGTAAAAACAAAATGGGAGAATTAGGGAGAAAAAAGATCTATTGAAAAGATTTTATAATGTGAAAGAATATAAACTTAAATTTAATAAAGTATAAATAAACCACACTGTGTATGTTTTTAGACTAATTTTTTTAAATGTTAAAAAGACTCAATCTTGGATCCTCCCTTTTTTCTCATCCCTTTCTCTTTGTAAGATACTCATATTTTTCATTTTTCATTTCCAGTTTCCAAATAATTAGAATAAAAATAAAAATTAATATATAATTACATATTCACATAACACATCTATAACCTGATTCATGTATATGGCCTGAGAAGTTCTTATATTGAATTAAGGCAGCTGTTGCTGTAAAATTTGTTTTTAAAAAAGATATGTAATGCAAGCAATTATGAGCTGAAACTTGAGCATGACAAAATTTAAAAGAATGAATGGGATTGACATGCCTTGAACACAAGCGAACAAAAGATAATGTCTTGCTCTTTAACAAGGAAATGTCATGTATTTTTATAACTCGTCTAATTGCCAGACTTTGATCCTCAAGAGAGATGATTGTATTTATTAAATTGAATAGTTGGTATAGCTTGATATTATGTATTTTAACATCTTAAAAGTTAATTATAAATTAAATGAAATGTATTTTTCAAGTATCATTGGATTTTTTTTACATGTAGCATGGACAAGACGTTATCTTAGGCAAGAAAACCTTGCCTACCTAGCCCACTCTACCTGGCCTGTCCTTACCCACCCTAAAATAGTTAGGCTTCTTTGACTAGGGCCAGTCAGCCTTTAGGTTTGTGCATCGCCTTTACCCATGTACACCCCTAACCCGACAGGCTCGCCACTTAAAATCTACCGCTAATGTGCCTCTGGGGGCCATTTAATTTTTCTCAAAGGTATCAATATATAAACTGCTTCATTGATTTTTCGAAATGAAATTATAGATAAAATGTTTGACGTATGGAACCTCATAAGCTTTTGCTGTTTTTTTGGTTTTTTGAGAGATTGGGATAGATAGATAGAGAGAGAGAGCGCGAGAATCAATATGGCTGATAATTGTCGCGAGTGAGCTTCCACTACATAAGTTTGGAGAGCTCAGAAGTAGTGATATGAGGGTGAAGGTTTTGTTGAAGAAGGAGAGGAGGGATTTGGTTGCGGTAGAAATCATCCACTGAAAAAGAGATTGGATTCAAGATTGATAATTGCTCAAAGCTTCTCTCCAAACACTGGGATCCGAGCGTGTTTGGAGAAAATCATCAGTTTTTATGTTGATGCCCTGACAAAAATTAAATAGCTCCAGGAGGTACATTAACGGCGGATTTGAGAGGCAAAAGGTGAGCCCATCGGATTTGAGAGAGAGAGAGTTGAGGAAAAAGAAACAGCAGAAGAAGCAACTTGACACGTCAGCATCTGGTTTCGTCTGCCACATAGGATTATTCTGGTGAAAATGGAGCTCACTCAGTGCCTGACGGTCAAATAAAACGGTTATGTTAGGAATGGATCTTATCATTTTAAATACTCCAAAAGTGAAATTACTCCATAAATAATTTTAGAATATTAGATGTATCCTGAAAAATATTTTAAAGTAACGGGTGCATCTTAACCATATTTTAAATTTCTAATATTAATATATTATATTTAACAACAAATTTAGGGGAAAAAAAATTGGGAGGGTGACCTGCCAACTCGCAACTTATAAGGTTGAAGTAGTCCGTGCATTAGTGGGCTAGCAAAATTACAACCCCAACCTGCCTCTAAATGTTTTACTGGCTCTAATTTGTATTATCATAATTTTTATGTTTCAATTTAAGGATTTGATGAGGCCAAGCGATTGTAGCGTTGAAATAAATAGGAACTACTTATTTTATCTCCCAACTTTATCTTGTTGATCTCTCTCATCCTAATTATTTCTTTTATATATACTCCTCCGGTCCTTAATATAAGACTCATTTAACTAATTTGATTAAATTAAGGAAGTTAGGTAAGTTAGTTAATTATAAGAAAAGTGACACATTTTTTCTAAAACACCATAATCATCTTTTTAATACCCTCTCTCCCTCTTCTACTTGATTATGGGTGATGGAGTATCCATAAGGGTAATTTAGAGAAAATTAATAAATATGAGAAATGGGTCTTATATTTAAACCAAAATCAACTCAAAAATTGGTCATATATTAAGGACCGGAGGAATATTTAATTTCATAACAATAATTTTATTTTAGACAATAAAAATAAATAAATAATTTTTAATTTGAAATAAAATTCTGTTTTTATTTTTAACTGAAATCTTAAGATACGAATAATTTGAAATTTTGAAAGTACACTTTTCGTTGGCCAAAAAAAAAGTACACTTTGAATTATGAATAAACATTCAGAAATTGTATTTAAAAAAAAAAAAAAAAGAACCAGCACCATTTGAAAACTGAAAAGAGAAGAAGGAATTATCTGTTAAGCCAGTATAATCTGATTTAAATGTGCCAAGCAATGAAAAAGAAAGAAGCACACTTTTCTTTTCATTGTTCCCCGTCTTTAATTTCATTTTCCACTTTCCATAAATCCTTTCTTTTTTCCAAAAACAAAATCCTCAAACTTCTTTTCATAGTTTGGATTATAAAATGCGGAATTAAAAATAAATTTAAAATCAATTCAAATACCCATGCATAAAAATATAAAATATCATTAAATAATAATTATGTTAAATAAATATTGGGGTAATGATGTAATTTTACTCTTGATCTTATTTCTTATATGCACTCAATACTTTGATTTTTTAGTAGTACAATTTTACCCATAATTTGTTTTGGATAAAATTGCGCCACAAAAAAGATCGTATGGCACCTTTATCCTAAATATTATAATAAAACATTTTGATTTTTTTCATTACATTCGCCTTTTCTTTAAAATGTTTCTAATATCTTGTAATAAAAAAAATGTTTCTAATATTTACTCATCCATCCAATAAATTACAAATTACAAAAATATTTTAATAATTAAATATTAAATTTAAAAACAATTTACATGAGATAAATTTTAAAATGCACTCAAATTTTCGAAACCAAGGGCTTACAACACGGGATTGAAAGTCGGGTTGGGTCAAAGCACACTGATCCAGGGCTGTAGCTCCTTACTGCTCAACCAAGGAACACATAGCTTTGTCTAATTTGCAGAGTATAAAGGAAACAATGACGCGTAAAGAATCGGTTCTCCATTCGATAATGAAGGTATTTACAACCATGAAAGTCTTCATCAGAGGAAGTAAATGATTGTCTTCTAACAATTACGAGATGCTCTTTTATTTACAGCCGCCACAAACCACAGCTGCAAAACATTGTCACTTTTAACTCCTAAAACATCTAATCTCAAATTTTCAATCTCTGGGGAATAAGATGTACACTTTATTTACATCAATGGCAAATCTGGAAGCTATAATTTCTACCATCATGTGTTGTTTAACACGCCACTAAAAAGGTCTCTTTTCACCTGTTTTGCTTCGGAGGCAGCCAATTGACAAAGCAAGACCTTCGAACCAAGAGCGCAAGCTATCTTACAAATCAGTGCAGAGGTTTAAACTAAGCAAAGTTGTGCAATACAAACATGCGTGGTGTTGAATAACAAAATTGAACTCCTTAAGGCTTCATTTCTGAACCCCATTTGCCAAAGAGGATGTTTACACTTTGCCAACACTGTAACTTGACTACGTGAGAAATATATGACAATTTTTTGGCCCCCATAGATTGATGGCGTAAGATACTTGCAGAAATTGAACTCACTAGTTGCACAAATTATGGCTGCCAAGAACAAAAGAACCATTATGTGCAAATATGCTGGTGTATGCAATTCGTAATGTTAAGATGTTATTAGCTCAACTTCAACTTGACAACAAAACAGACCCATCGAAACCAATGATTTGTACTTTTTTTTAATGCTTTATAAGAATTTACGATCTCTGTTTTGGAAGGATGCAATACTTAGAAGTTTACAAGTTTTTCTTCTTTTCACTGGTGCAAAACCTCTTTTAAGATGTTTTCTAATGGATTCTCCAGCCCCACAACAAATAGGACATTTAATAGTGACCTTGTAACGTTAACTTCTGCAAGCTGCTTGAGGGAAACGAATTTGTTCTGCACGATGTCTCCTGATACGAAGGGACCTCGAGATGATCCTTCAAGGCAGGCTGGGAATCTGACTTGACAAAACGTGACTAAGTACAACAGTGGAACTTGATGCCAAGCATCAAGCAAGGTTGATAACTAGTTCTTCACTAGCCAACCAGTTTAATACTTGGTGGATTGAATCATGACATGGTTCAAATTCCTTTTCTTTTAAATTATATCCCCAAACTCCAGTTGGTCCAGTTCTACAGTGTCATTCCTGTGAATCATGACTCCCTTAGTTATTAAGACCAGTTAACCGAATAAATAAAGTTAATGATTCTATTTTCCTTCAAGCCTGTGAGAATTGAAAAGTGACTAACTATTTATCTTAAGCACGCATGAACTCGGATGGCGATTTCTAACTAGCCGGAGAAAATTGACTTCTTATGCAATCTGACCTGATTATTGGAAGCTTGTTCATGTATTCTCTGAGGCTTCATGTTCAAATCAATCATGTTAGTTCCCATCATGGCATGGCTGTCAGCATCATGTTCAGGTGCTGCAACCACGGCTAACCTATGATTTTGTTTTCTCTCTCCCACTTTTACTTTAGGCAGAGGATTTTGTCCTCTTTTAGTCTCACCAGGTTCCAAAGGCAGTGAAGCTGAGTTTTCTGGAAGACCAGTTTTATCTCCTGGAAACTATGGAGCAAACAGGCACACACACACATATATGAGACAAAAGATGGCAGCAAAATCAGAAATTATGAACAGCTTAAGGTGGAAGGAGAGGCCTACCTCAACTCTCTGCCTAAAAAGAAGATACCTTCCATGTTTTCTTTTGCCGCCAACATGAACCATCATGTCACACTGCAAGCAAAGTGAACTTCCATCTGTCTCGCAATAGAAGAATGCTACATCCAAGTTCAAAAGGCATGACATGAGCTTTGAGGCAGATAAAATTAGGATAAAGATCGAGAAAGGAAACTGTCTACCAGGCGCATTTTCACATATGTCACAGCGAGGCACATCACTAGGACTGGCCAGACCAACCCTTACATGTCGGCTAGCTAGCTTGTTACACATATGAACCTGTCACTCAAATAGATTAAACTCCAAATCATTGCTTTGAGAAATTGACCAGGATCAACGTTACCAGTCACCAGAAAAAATGACCTTTGATTTAGACTTCAAATCTACACAAGTTCAATAAAAGACCTATTCAAATATGTATATGAAGCAACACAAAAGCCGGGTGGCCAAATTGCAAGTCCCTCCTTTTATGGCAGAAGAGAATATCTCTTAAGTGCTCAATTCCTCTCTGTCAACGGATTTTTTCCCCCACGAATTTCATTTCTTGTCGTCATATTGATTTCATCATAATGATGAGCCCAACATTATTGTAAAAATAAAAAACAGTACGATAGCACTGGAAATAGACAGAGAGAGAAAATTAGAAAGAAGAAAAGAGCTTTTCTCGATAGTCCATTGCTCTTGAACTAGTATAACAGTCAACTTTGGCTTATTTAAAAGGATCTAGAGTCATGGAATTGTTTTGTTAACCGATTCGATGGTTAAAAGGATTTTAGAAAAGAAAAAGAAAGGAAAAGAAAAAATCCACCTTCTCGTCACAGGCACGGCAGAGAGCGGCCTCATCGGCGGCGCAGAAAACGATAGCGGCGGCGCTCTCACAAGCGTCACAAAGCGTTCTCATAATTGAAAACTGCTGCCAGTTTCATTGCTTGAAGCATGAAATACAAGAGAAGTGAAGGAAGTCAGAAGAAAGAAGCTGGATTTGCAAAAGCGGGAAGGAGAAAAGAGGCAGACAGAAGAAGACAGAATTTCACCAAATCCATGCGGGTATGATAGTTCTGTTTTTGAGGGAAACGTATGTTGGGTGGCTGGTGTTCCAAGCTGATGATGATGGGGAGACGCGATGCTTATTTGATTAGGGCGGAGGAATTTGCAGGGGGGACCTTGAAGCCGAGTGTAAAGGCAACAACAAAAACCACACAGTATTTTATAAATGTCAATGAGAGGCTCAATAAACGAAGACACAATCAATGAGCGTTTGTCAGTTCTGTTCAACTCCAACCTAACTTCACAGCCACAAATCCAAACGCACTGTGGGGTTGACAACTCCCCGCCCTTCGTTCTCGCCCCCCAACTTTAATTTGGATCATACCAAATACCAACTTCTCACAGGCCAATTCCATTACTATTTTTTCAGTCCAAAAAAATAAAATTCCATTACTATTTTGCTGGTAAAAAAAAATCCATTACTATTTTATCTTTCTTAGCTTTTTTTAAGTTTTTTTTTAAAAATAATTGCTTCATCTTATAAAATATAAATTCATTAATTTTGTTTTAAGCATATATATATATATCTTTCTATTGGATGCAGTTTTGTTTGAAATATTATCAGACACTGAATATAAATCTTTCTTTTCAACGAGCATTCAAACCTTAATCTTTCATGTTGTAATCATTAATTTTGACCCATATCCTTATGATGTATATATAAATAGAATGAAGTATTATCAGGCACTAAATGTAAATACTTTTTTCGGCAAAAATTTAAACATTAATCAGTCACCAGTCATGTTGTAATCATTAATTTTGACCCATATCCTTAATTATAATGCATACACAACTCGCTAACCTTCTTCTATGTTATTCACTTTTTTCATGATAAGGTTATGCTGTTAATTAAAATTAAAGATATAATACTATCTCTAATCTTGAATATATAAGAGTTAAATAATTAATTTATACTACCCCTGATCCTTAATATAAGAATCAGTTGACTAATTTGAGTAGATTAAGAAATTATTATAAATTTGATGCATGGAGTGGTTGGATTTGGAGGTTTGAGGCTTAAAAGCACTAAGATTTCTGATTGGAGGTCTTGACCCTAGGCATTTTTTAAGCAGTCTTGGAAATCAAGAATTTTAGAGGACCAAATGATCTTATCTTTGATTAGTTCTTTTTAAATTAACAAATAAACATCTCAAGCTTTTTAAAGAGTCTTAATTTGTAATTTTTGGAGGTGTGTAGACTTACTTGTGAATTTTTACAATTGGGTTTTTTCTTGCTATGTGACATTTGCTATGAGTTAGCTATAGCGAACACCATAGTGAATGGCTTGACAGCAAGGACACTTTTTTTAAGTGCCATTCAACACACAGTGAACGTGGCTCGAACTAGCTTTTAAAATCAGTTTCATACGCGTTTTTAAGATAATTTAGCGTGGTGGAATATTGGGAATCTACTAGGACTTGTAGATTTTGGTCCTTATGAGTATATTTGAACTTTCAGACATCAAAGTAAATATTTCTAACCTTTTTTTTTTTACCCTTTTTCTTACATTTTTTAAGATTGAGAAAGTTGAATTTTAGGATTCTTCAATGATTTCAAATGGGCTAAGGTTTTGACTGATTATTTTAAATTTAAATTATTTCAATGGATAATTTCAAGTGTTTAATCAATTTAGTTTTCTTGAGTTTGGAGTTTGGAAGAATTTGAACCTAGATTTTGTGATTTTTGGGAGGTTTATGATGGTTAATGATATTATAATAACTCAAAATGAGTTTTGACTATCAGTTATATTATTACAAGTTAGAATTGATATTTAATCGGTTTAGAATATTGATTTAAGTTTATTTTCATATTCGGGTATTTTTTATGATGAATTTAAATTGAAAAAATTGGGGTTTTTAATCAATTGGTGTAATTGGGAGTTTATTAGGATTGTGTATTAAGTTTTGAATTGGTCAATTTGAAGTTAAGAGGAGTTTTTGGTTGAGTTAGGATTTTAAGTCCTAATTATCATTTTTAACTACTTGATTAGTTTGTTAACTGGTATGTGGTGATTGTGTAATTGTGTAAATTGTTTGGAATTGGTGTTATTGTGCTCAGGTAACATGTTTGCGGTAATTGACCCTTGCTTAGACGAAAAGCAACCACTTTCCACTCATTATATATGCTAATAGGTTGTTTGTAAGTGATTTTATTGCTTTGAAACTATGAAAGGTATTTTGGATTATATTTCAAATTATGTTGATATAATGGAATTAAATAAGTCATGTGGAACTACACGCAATCCTTTGAGTTCATGATATCATGTTATAACTATAGGTTTTGATTTGTAAATGGATTATGTGATTTGGAATTGATGGAATACATTCTTGAGTATGATGCATACAATGGGAATTGGTGAGTAATATATGACTGTTATCTTCACGTGATGAATGCCTCAATTAATGTATAATAATTGGCTCCTTACATTCCCTCAAAAATAAGAGAACAGCCTCTTGGTATAGTCCCTCCAGAGTGAGGGACAAACCTTGGGATTTCTTTATATCCCTTATAGTGAATGATCACCTTTTTGGCTCTTTCTCTTAGAGTAAGAGATTGGTTTTCTGGGTTTTTACTTCTCCCATAGTGAGAGAAGGCAATTTTAGGGATTGCATATGCATAATGGCATTGCTTTATAAACTATGAATTCCAGGAATTGATTTATGAGTTTCAGAACTGTTGTTATCTGATATATTTATATATTTTTATCTATTAATTCTTAATTATTTCACTTGACACCTTCACAAGTACATATTAGTATGTATGATGAGTTGGACTATTGGTTACTGAGGTTTATGTCTCATCCCATGGTTATTGATGTTTCTAAGTGAAAGTTATAGGGTCGCACTGTCAGAGAAGAATTCAGAGGCCTAAGCTTTCATAACTTCTAGTACTGCTTTCGTATTTTTTATATGTAACGATAGATTGTATATTGTCACCTAAAGCTTCTTTCTTTTGCATACTCTATATTGTTTGGATATTTGACTATGGAATTGTACTTTGTTTATTGGATTGTTGGGATTGAGTGCTAGTAGTAGGCCAGAGACCTTAGGGTGATGCATGAGTATTATCCGTAAATCCACACTGATTGTGTTGATATATTATAAGTATTATTCGGTAACTTGGTTGTGAAATGAGCTTTGGTTTTTGATACTCAGAAACCCATCTTGAGATGTTTATAAATGTGTTATTTATGGTAGATAAGGGCTTATTTCCCATTATCATGTTAGTGGGACTAAACTCTTTTTTAACATCGCTTCGCATGTTCAGGTGATATGAAATTTTTACATTCATGTATACTTTCAAGAGGAGATTTAATTCTTCTAAACGTTAATTTGTATGAATATTAACAAGGAGTTTTAAATATCTATAATAGACCTTCTAAGTCATTAATTGTTTCTTTTCTATTATGAATTTAATTTGAAATGAGTTAAATCTTTTCTACTATAGTAGCTACTTTAATCATTTTTCTATAGGAATGATTAAAAGAGCTTTAAAGTAAGTAAATTTTTAGTTTTAGGAGGTGGATTTTCTTTACACCCGAAATTCAGCTCTCCTAAACTTTTAGTAGTAATAATAAGAAAAAAAGCCACTTAATCTTAGTTACCAGTTGAGTCCCAATTCTTGAAATTTATAAATGGTGTGATTGGATATAATTTTAGTGGATATGTTGAATTATATTGATATGTGAATCTCTTATGCAAGATAAAGTATAAATTTTAAATTTAAAAGAAAAGACACGTAGGTGAAACATAAATTTTAGGATTAAATTCTCTCCAAATCTTTATATTTTTAATGAGTTTGGATTTTAATTCTTGTACTTTTTTATTGTTTTTGTTCATATATTTTACACAGTCTAAAATATTAGTTCTTAGGAAGAATTAGAGAGCGAGACCTAATATGAATAATATTTATTGAAAAGGATCTTAAAAATTATAATTGTTTAGAAGGATCAAATACCAAAATATAAATTTAAAAATATTGTTTTGCTCCTAACTAAATCTCTGATATCCTCTCTCACCACATCCTATAATTATCCTTTTTTAAATGAAATAAATACTAAGGTACAAATTTGTCCTGAAGTTTGTGCCTAGGAATACTGGGTATCTGGAAGTATTTTTTGACTCAATAGCACCCTAGAAGTTTCCAAATCATAGCAATGTCGCCCTGGCTGTTATCAAGGTTAAGTTTGTCTGTTAGTTGATCAACTATACTGAGTTGGCATGTTCACGTGTCATCCATATTATTTTCTTTTTGAAGTTAAGTGTAAATTTGTCTCAGAAGTGTTTACTCATGAGCACTTGGTATCCACAAGTTTTCAAATTATAGCAATATTACCCCAACTGTTATCCATGTTAAATTTTATCATTAAATAACCAAATATGCTGAGATGGTAGATCTACATGTGATCCACCTCATTTTTTTTTTGGGGAATTTCATTGTAGGACCGCAGAAGACAAATAATCTCAAAGAGCCCCCAAAACTTTCTGAAACCTCACTGCAGGACCAAGGGACCAATCTGATATTAATTTTTAGAGTGAGATTACAATAATACCCCTCCCTTTTTATTTTATTAAAAAATAAATATTTACCGAAGTTACTGTTCCGGCCACCGGCGCTCAGGTGGCCACCGTGGGGGTCCGGTTATCGGTGGCCGGAACAGTAACTCCGACGAGACCTCCGGTGGCCGAAGTTTTTTTTGTTTAAAACAAAGTGGCCAGGGGAGGGTTTGAACCCAGGACCCCTTGGCACACCAAAAGACTTGTAACCACCAAGCCAAGCAACCCATTCAATCATAAAATGCAAATAAAACTATATATAACAAAATAAACGCAACAGTCAAATGTAAGTGAACAAGTGAAATTAGACGATTTACAAGTGGAATTCAGAAATTTGCAACAAAAATTAGGCAATTTACAAATAACATAATAGAAGTCATAACCCAAAATGCAAGTATTTAAGTACAAATGAGCAAGTAAATTTTGAAGATTTACAATAAAAGTTTATGGATTTACAACCCAAATTTGGCAAACACAAAAGAATTCACAACCCAAAATGTAAGTGTTTGAGTGTAAGTGAACAAGTGAAATTAGACGATTTACAAGTGTAATTCAGCAATTTACAACAAAAATTAGACAATTTACA